GATGTAAAACGTGAAATGCGTAAATTCTATGATTTTCCAGTGCGTGTTTATCAAGGTTTGTCGATTATTAGAGACTAGCTATTTATAGCTTTGAAAGGACCTCGATCTCATACCCCTCTATTCCGATAACGGCTACAACTCTGGGGGAAGATCTTGCCTTTCTGAGAAAACATAATCTATTTCTTGCAGGTTGATTTAAGAAGATAAAGTTCACGAGTTTTTAAACTTTCCCCATGGTTTTAATTTCAAGTTTATTAGAGTTCCGGCTCCCTCCTGGGCTTTTATAATTCTGACCGTTTATTCAAAGTGTAAGTATAAAAAATGTGGCTAAATAAAGATGTTGTTTCTTTCAATAGACATGTTATGTACCTTGTCATAAGGTTTTCGAATTGTTTAGATTTGTGTGAATCGTTTTTTAACGTACAATTAATTTGCAGATGTATTACAGTGTAGTCGAAACATCAATTGCTACGAGACGTTTTCAAACTTTCAACTTTTTAACTACTAATGTCTTCCCCGCGTTGTGGAAGATGGCGTTTCAATTTACAGACCCATATCTCTTCTATCCATCCCAAATAAGCTTCTCAAAAGCTAGGTGTGTCACATTATTGATGAACATCTTGCTGATTGCAGTGCCAAGACCCGGGAGCAATGGGGTTTTTGTAAACGTTCATCAACAGAGTCCATGCTTTTAACTATGACCGAGAAATAGAAACAGGCGTTGGACAACAGTCTCTGTGTAGGAGCAGAGTTCATTGATTTCCAAAAAGCTTTTAAAACTGTCTCGCACCTAATACTATCAAGCAAGCTTCAAGCTATTGGCATATGTGTTATTTCACAAACAGATCGCAATTATAGTATACTGTTGTTAATGGCTGCAGGTCTTCTCCTAGTTGTATTAATGTTGGCGTCCCACAGGGATCTCTCCTTGGGCCAAGGCTATATTCTATTTTTGTCAACGATCTTCCTGACTGTGTTGGAGATTTTGGAGATGTCTATTGTATGCTGATGACACTGCCTCATCTTTTATTGCTGAAAGTTTAGATAACGTTTTTGCTGCACCTAACATTATGGTTGACAATGTGCTACAGTAATCAACTCACAATACATCCAATCAAAACTGAAGCAATGTTGATTAGGAAATCCCCTTTTATTGGCCCATTACCTCCTTTGTACTTTGGATCGGGCATGATACGTGTAGCTGAGTCATCGACTTGCCTGGGTGAAAAGCTTTATTGTAGACTCTCATGGTCTGAACATGTTTCTCAAGTCAGAAAAACTTTTGTGCATAAGGTTAAAGCAATGAAACGAATGAAGTACCAGCCTGTAAAGACTTTGCAAGAGACTTATTTCAAGACAATAATTCCGAGTCTAACTTACTGTATTTTAATTTGGGGAAACTGCTCTACAGCCCTTTTTTCTTCTCTAGAATCGACACATTCGAGAGCAGCGGGAATTATTTAGAACCTTGATTCGTTTGACCTGTGCCTTCTGAATGCCACCGATGCCTTTTCCGATGCCTCCATTGTTTATTACAGCAGTAAAAGATACATGTAAAATCAATACCTTTGAAAAATTGCTTAACATTTTATTTAGCGAAGTATACTGTAACACCATTGTTTTCCACAACTACAACTGATATGTTTCTATATGATGTATTAAAGTTGTTTCCCCGCTGACCACTCGTATTTCGATCTTTTCCTCTTCCCCCGCTCGCCACCCGTGATGTGGTAACTCCCAACAAAATCAACATGTGTAACCTCCTTCGCAACTGCTCTTTCGTCCCTAAACAGTCTTGCGTGACAACACCAAACAATACCTACGACGAAAACTACAGTATTCGTAGAGGTCACGGCAAAAAGTAAGCTACAGACTACAGAATGCGCACTGCATACTAAGTACAAAATGCACACTGCATACTGCAAAGTGGGCGCAAAATGCACACTGAGAATTTAAACTGTTTTTTTCCTCTGATATGTTATAAAATCTCATCTTACAACTTACCAAGTGTCACGCAATCGCTTTTGCGCGACCATCTTTTTCGATCATTTGCTTTATTGCGCAATATTCCTTGCCTGTTTCTTGATATATTTTGTTTTTAACAAACCGGCCATTGCATTAGTTTCTAACAAAGCGGCCACAATCCTTTTTAAAACAATTTCAAGCCTTCATATAGTCTGATTTTCACATACTAATATTTCCGTACTAACCAAACAGATCAGAGATAAAATACCAGAAAAGTAAACAAATGGCAACTCACGAAAACAACGGAACCAACTGCAGAACACCCTGCCACATCAGCCCCCTCCACCTACATCTGTCACGAGGCTTTGAAGATTGAGACATAACACAATAAGCGTTATTCTTATTCAATGACAAGTAAATGAGTGGCAGGGTATTCTGCAGCTTGGCCTAAAAATCCCTGTGTGTTCACCCCTGAACGTTGAAAATATATTAAAATAAAATATATTAATTATTATCAAGGAACTGTTTTGGTCTCGGTCCGCATTTTTGTCAACAAAAATGAATAAACACATGTCACTTAAAAAGATGATAATACGGACCACGTGCAAACCTGTCAATTGTTTCTCGAATATTGCGCGTCTTAAATACTTAGTAGCGACATCCATTTAAATCTACATTCGCATCTACTTTTATGAAGTTGGCAAAGTCTGAACAGACATCACACCAACCAACTCGCGCGCAAAGTGAGAAGACTATACGAAGGCTTGAAATTATATTAAGAACGATTTTGATCGAGAAACGGACCAGCAATATTTCACAATAGTGCAAATGATCGTGAAAAATGATCGCGCAAATCACGTACTAGATGAAAAAAAAAGTTTAAATTCTCAGTCTGCATTTCGTTCCCACTCTGCAGTCTGCACTCTACATGTTGTACCTATTGCGCATTTTGTATCCGGTCTGCAGTCTGTATTTTGTATTGACACGTAACCGTGGCAACAATAGTTTATTTTTGGTTACAATTATTCTCACAACACACACAATCGACTACAAAATACCTTTCCGTTCTTTTCCGCGTTAATATTCTTTCCTTTTTATAACAATATAGATATCACTTATAATGTTTCAATTGTTCCACCCACCCAAAAAAATAACTCTTGCATGCATGCCTATGCTATACTTTGAGCTCAGCGCCACATTCAGATGTTATGCCGAAGTTAAGATTCAGATGTTATGCCGAAGTTAAGATGTCGTACCATCAGAAACGGTTAACGCATCGAGGTATTGGTGAGAAACTTAGAGGAAAATAAATTACGCTTTTTTTTTAAGCAAATTTTTACCACACGTCGCCGTAGTTACATCTTAAACCCCCAACTAGCTTTTCGCCATGCAGTCGCATGATTCTGCCACATTTTTCAAGAACATTACTTCTAACGTTGGACTTAGGAAAACAAAACAGAAATAGTGAAAGAAGTCGCTTTTTCGATGAATTGTAAGACTCGAATAAATAAAGGAATCTATTTTACGGTAGAATCTTTTTTGTAGTGGTCTTGCCGGTCAGATGATAAAATACTTATTAACTCATTGACTCTGATGGGATCGGACGAGAAAAAACACAATTAGAAAGGAAACGAACCCGATAACGAAAAAAGATTGCTTTGGTTATGGATACCATGCGAAGAATAAATTTGCAAGGGAGTAAAATTATCGGGATTATAAACAAACACAGTTTAGCTGTTTTCATTAAGTATGCAAACCAGCTATGCGATGGTTTGACGGCAGTTTTAATTTCAGTTACGTCTTTCTGATCTTACGCCACTTCTGCCGTCTTAGTTATTGTTGTCTGTATCAATTAGTGTTATTGCAGTTCGTTTTAGCCCAGGAGGTCACTGGTAGTTTAAATTGTTTCTACAATTTAATGTTGGACAGTAATTAGGAAACGATGGATGGGAACAAACAACCTTTGTTCCACCGACCTTGTTTTTCATGGCTTGCTAGCCTACCTGTTAAAATTCATACTAATCATGACGGTGTCAGAGCGACTGCGATAATGTTGAGGTCCATCGCGGCTGGCTCATTATGGCGATCTCCGGTCGCAATGAAGCAAGCCTCAGAAACTACATCGGCCGCTCTTCGAGTGAAAAAATAAGAGTTTGCTCTGATATCCTTTCCGATGCGTTGATAGGAAGGCCAAATAAGTCACTCTAACCGAGTTTTACGGCGCTGTCATCCCGAGCGATCTTCATATTCCGGTGAATTCGGCTGTCGTTCATTCATAAAACACTCACCTTGAACATTTTGTTTTCTACGTCTCGTGTTTCCCGCTACACTTCTTTCGTGCGCTACTCGCTTCCTGTATGCTTTATAAAAGAACAGAGCACAGTGAAGGCTTCTCTATTTGTTAAATTGTACCCCCCTCCTTCTCAATTTCGTTTATGAATATCTGCACCGCTGAACTTTACTTTAATCAAGGAATAGTTTAAAAAAACGAGTTCATTTTAAATTAGGGTGGAGGAAGCTACATTCCAGGGATACATCGCCGTGTTAATAGATGCTACAGTCAGGATCCCTGCCTCAACGGGGGAGTATGTCAGGAGATTTGTGACAATCACAGCCCCAGGTTTAACTGCATCTGTTCTTACAAATACACTGGTAAGCGTTGTGATCAGATTACATATCCAAGAAACTGCAGAGACATCGCTAACAACGGGGCCTCACAATCAGGAAAATACGATATTTTTGATTCAGCCAATAAACCGTTTTCTGTTTACTGTGACTTGCAGTCAGAAACTGGCTTTGTATGGGCATTGATACAGTCGTTATCCTTTGCCAATAGGGCCACATATAAGGATAAGGGGTTTAGCACGGATTTTCCTGTGAATGGCAACAACAATGAACCGGACTGGAACTCTTACCGCCTTTCCTTATCACATATGCAGTCTCTCTCAAATCACTCTACACATCTCAGAGTAACATGCAACTTACCTGCAGATGGCCTGCAATATACGGACTACGCACGCGCAGTTCTGGAAGGTCATGACATACTCGGTGACTGGGGTGGAGAATGCAAACTGTATGAGTATATAAATATCCGTGGAATTAACTGTTCTGGTTGCACCGCTTACACAAGAATGGCTCTTAATGGTGCTTGGTTCGTAAACAGTTTCAAAAGCAAAGAGAAAGAATGCGATTTTGATGGATCAGTAGGAGCAGTTAACAACGAAAATAATTTTGGACGGTATCATTCCGCAGCGAGTAATAAGAAACACCGCTGCTCCTCTTCGAATCTTTCCACAACGCAATACTGGTTTGGGTTAAACATGAAGAGGTTATTCTAAATTCCAATAATCTACTAAGACTAGAATGAGTTATGAGAATTAGATAAGATTTTGTTTTTCTTTAAGGATTCTGTCGTTCTTTGGTTGTGGTTGCTTTTTGTTTTGTTTTGTTGTCGTTTTTTTCTTTCAACATAGGCCTTTGGTTTCTTGGAAATTGTCTATTTTGAAATCGAACAAATTGATTTGAATCTCGTTAGATCCGCTTCCCATAGGATATTTGGTAGTATGACGTTGAAAGAACGATTTTCTTCAACGAATTTTGTCAGACTGAAACAATAAAGACAGCCAACTATGATATCACAGGAACTATTAAGAATTCAAAGACAGACAGGCAAACCGTTGTAATCTGTGATTGTTTTTAGCTTTGCATTCTTAGGTAGGAGATTAGCCCGAGTTTTCTAAACCAATCCAAAGCTAATGCAACCCTGGCTCCCTTTTGAAAACAAGAATAAAATTGCGCTGTAATTGTAGTTTAATAATAATTCATGGCTTGTATGCGTAAGCTCAGTAACATACGAATACGTTCAAATACGCCTTACGAAACTTTATATAAACTTATATCTGTAATATACACATGCAATAAAATTGCTTGTTTGAAAAGTTTGAAAACAAATGTAAAAACAAGCACAAGGTTCAAACGTGTACGACTGACCTTACTTCTTATTCGCTAACGCAATGACAGTTCTGACAGTTGACTTTGAAATGGCTTTCTAGAGCGCGCTCAGGATAAAAACAAACAACATTATTAGTGTTTTGTTTTTTTTTTAATTACTTTTATTCAATTATGCGATTTAAGAAAAATTCGCTGCCTGATGAGTGAATTCCACGTTAAATTTCACGCGAAAAACCGATATCGCACGGAAAAATATTAGTCAGTCACTATTAATTGTGGTAAGAGATATTGGGCTTCTAAGTCATCTCAATAATTTCTGTGACTACATATGCTCAAAATACTTAATATAATCATCGCTTGAACGTCCAGTTTTGTGTAACATTAGTGACAGGTTTGCTTGTGAATATTATGAAAATAAAGAAAGCTTCATATATCGAAACTACTTATAAAGGAGTACTCAGTTATTAGATGATTTCAAAATTTTTACTCCGTTATTATGAGTTTGTTTGTGTTTTTTCTCTCAAAGCTTTAAGTTTTAGGAAGCTGTTTCATTATTTCTTGGGTCATTTTAGGATAAATATATCTTATTAGACGTTTTGGTGTGTATTGTCGCTGAAGGCGCTGAATTTTTACGAGTTGTGCTGTATTTTGACTCGCTCTAAAGGCTCGTCAAAATATAAACAACGAACAACAAGAAGGGTCATTATTGTAATTTTATGGGTTTAATAAAATATTTTTTTGCTTATCATTGGGAGGAGGATACGTGTATGGCAGAAGAACATTGTTACATAAACAGATGCTACCTAGTCAATTCTTGTCTGAACGGAGGCCGGGTTTGTCAGGAAATTTTTCACATTCACAGTGTCCACTTTCCTCTGTATACCAAAAAGTTGTACAGATGTCGATAAGTACGGTGCCTCGACATCGGAAGTATCTTTTTAAACGAACATTTCATGTTCACTATGACTTGACCCGCAAAGTCTGTATAGTTCATAAATAATTTTCTTTAGAGGAGAGGGTTTATCAACTGAACTTTCTCCAAATTCAAAACTGAGCGCAGTACAATAACGCTCTCTTGAGCATCAGGCGAATTCATGCCCTCTCATAGTTACTTTGATTTACTAGGGCTACTGGTCAGTCTTACTTTTTTCCTACTTGATTTAGCGTGCATTTGCCTCTTCTCGATGAGAAATTAACCACTGAATTATACCTCAGAGAGCAGAAAGAAGCCGTTAAATGCAAGTGAAAAGAATGAGGCTGTCCAATAACAAAATTTGACAAAACTATTCGTAAGTATCTCCTCGAAAAGGTTTCAACCCTTTTTGTCTGAGTTTTAAAAAGCTCATGTTCATTTCTGCGCCGTTTGGCAATTTGTGCATGAATTAATCTTGTTGAAAGTGCATTGCTGAAAGAGGATCTTTTAACAATTAATGGTGGGTAGAGTTTTTCTTTATTTGTTTTTGTAACACAAAACGTTCTTCAAAACGCTTTTTTTTTTAATAAAGGACACACACGAAACTCTTGAAAGTTTTACGTTTCAAAAAAAACTCCTCAAACTTGGGCGATTTGATACGTGAAAGTCATTTTTTGATAAAGTTCATCGCAGCGGCTGCTTCACACAGATTTGATATATGTGAACATTTAGCTTTGCATTCAACTAATTGTAAGCGATATACTTTTAATCAGCAATTACTGCCGTAGAGGAATTGAAACCGGTTCGTTTGTTTTTTCACATCTGTTCCATTTGCCAATATATCTCCCTCCGTTGCAACCTGGGCAATGAAGAGAAAACAGCTTAGCATCTGAGTAACAATCAATTATTTGTAAACTGCGTCCAGCCTAGGCTAAACTGAAGGGTACGTTTTCGGCTCCTTTTGTAGAGCATTCGTAACAGAAACCGTCGAGGAGCAATTTCGTTTGGGCTTGAATGTTTCCCTAATCTTCTTCTCGAAATTCCGCAAATAAGTGATTCTGTAGTGAAGATCGACTTCACGGCGAGACGAATACACTCTTTTCAGTCTTTCAAAACGTTTACTGACTCAAAAGGAGGTCTTAATATGGTAATGGCTCTTACGGCTAACAACTAAAATTTTGACAAGTTTTTTCTTCCCGTTGCAATAAAAAAAAAAATGAAAACAACTTCCTAGTTAATTTAAAAAATGCATCAATGCGTTTCCCACGAATGAGCAAATGTTCGATCTCGTGAAATTTTATCACTGGAGGTCGCTTTTAAGAAAGAGACCCAAATATCTATTCATTACGTTTCAGATTACCCCATGCATTTCAGACGAAATAATCATGTATTTTTTTTTTCCTTCACAGTAATAGTGATATTGCTATGGGCATCGTGCAAAATCTCCAAGTCATGCTGTTTGTATTCAATTTGGCCCTCTCCACTGTGGCACAGAAAGCAGTAACTTGTCAAAACTTCAAGTTTGCTATCGATGACGATGCTATCCATAACCAAATTCTTGATGGTTACGTGTTTCAAAACTTGACAGTCCCCAACGCCATCCAGTGTCACTTGAAGTGCAAAGATGACTGTTTGTGTGTATCCATGAATTATTTCCCTCTGTCCAAAGAAAATAACTGTGAGCTTAACGTTGCTAATAAAGACATGGAGCCGGGGGCAATGAAATTGAGGCAAGGAGGAAATTATTATGATTTGGTGAGAAGCTATACGGTGAAGGTGAGATAACATTGTTCATTTAATTCCTTATTCATTTATTTATGTAATTCCTTATTCATTTATTTATGAACTTTCGTAAACAAAGTAAATGTCCCAAGATGTTCAAGTGTTCCAGTACTCCTTCAAAACAGGTTTTAAATATGTTATGTCACGAACTTCTAAAGATTTTGAATATGTTATGTCAGCAACTTGTTATATTCCTGTAGGGTGGAGATAAATTCAACGCGAAAGAGCATCGTTGTGTCAATAGATGCTGCCACTCTAATCCTTGTCTCAACTATGGGGTGTGTGAGGAGATTTGTGACCTTCAAAGCATCAGGTTTAACTGTACCTGTCATGAAATTTTTACTGGTCAGCGGTGTGAGGAGTATCAAGATTCGTAGAGGATATTACATTTTTGGGAAATGGTCCAAATGTGGTTTCCTCCCATTATCCAGCGTGGCTTTATCTTTACTAAGCCAGTCTTCATGCCACCATAGCTTAAAAACTCTATGATATGTCAGAGTAACCCTTTGGTGTTTTTTTAATTTTTATTCAATTTACTTTGCAGACGAGACAAATATCAATAGCACGTTCGAATGTTTGATAAATATTTAAAAATGGCCTACTCTCTCAAAAATGTTCAAACTTGAAAACATGGCCTCAATCGGATGTAATAAAATCCAAACGCATTTACGTTACGTCGTCGCTCCTCTTTAAAAACAGAAAAACACGAACTTGTCAAGTTTTTCTCGTCACCAAGTGTATCCTAATTGGAACGCTTTTAAACTTGATTTTGAAAATTGAAAAAGGAATTTATACACAGAACACTTAAAAATTAGTGAAAAAAATGGCCGCTAAATTTCAAAAGTGGATGAAGACAAGGAATTATATTTTGAACAAAATTACAATTACTCATTTACGTTATTTTGACGCTCCACTTATAAACATAAATGTTTAATTTTCTCAGACCAGGCAATAATATTGATTTGATTACCCGATTAACTTCCCCTGGGGGCAAAACGTTGCTTTTGATTTCAATAGATAGTCTTCTAGATCACATTTGCGTGTTTTTAATATTAACGGATGCTAGGGATAAATATGTAAATTTTTAATTTCGAGGCATGTGCTTCCCCAGACATGTTTCAAAAACTGAAATGAAAACTTAAAATAGCTTATGAAATCCGGACGATGTTCTAGGTTTCACAAATTCACGACATTTCCATTTATCTGTAAAAGTTAAAAAATTGAGAGGAAAAGTTTTGATAAATACCAAGAGAAAATTATGGGATAGAGAAGGAGGCTAGCTGTCCAGGCTGTGGGATATGTCAATTTCACTTAAATACAATGAATAGACAGTCTTTCGAACGGAAGTATAATTTCCCAAGACGAACGCTGCATGAATGGGCTACCTATTAATAAATATATTTTTTCTTATTTAATTTAGGGCGCATTTGCCTCGTATCGATTAGAAATTATCTACTGAATTATGCCTCGAAGGCAGAAAGTAGACGCTAAAAACAGGAGAAAAAGAATGAGGCCGTCCAACAGCAAAATTTGAGCAATTGTTCACAAGTATTTCTTCATAAAGGTTTCAGCCTTGTTTGTCCGCGGTGAGTCTTTTAAAAACTCAAGTTCACCTGTGTTTCTTTAGGCAATTGCTGCATGAATCCTGTTACTTGAAAATATCACTCAATGTCTTTTAAGTTACGAGGTGTGGTGCGTTTTGATTTCTGTTGTAACACGGCAGCTGGTACTTCAATAATATAAGCACGACAGTACAATGTGCATTCTAAGAACTGCAAAGGTCATTAAAAACAAAACTGATACAAGATCGAAAACTTTTCATATTATTATGAATATCTAGCTTTGCATTTATGTAGATTTTTGCTTGGTCTTTGTAAAGGTGGTGTGCATGAAGAGATGTCTTTGAAGAACACCATGTTTTATACAGTAACCTTAGTTTGCTTAGTCTATTTTTCCAAAATTTGCGGACCAAAATTTATCAGTAAGACATTTAGATATTCGAATTATATCCTGAAGTAATCTACTCTCTAAGAAAAGAACTATTTATTATCAAAAAACCAAATAACACAGGCTATAGTAAATCCCAGACTTTTAATTTCAAGAACGTTTATGCATATATCTTTTATTCGTTACTTCTAAAAATAAAGAATACGTACTTAATTTTCCGAATTAGGCTCAAAATATCGATTTCTTTTCGCTAAAAGGAGCTGAAGTCGACACCTTTCATTATTTATTTCAAAAATTAAAATTTTCGAAACATTTCACATCAATTGTCACCGAAACAAAGGGCTGCTGAATGTTCGACAATGAAATACGACGAGAGCTCATAATGTTTTGAACAACTGCGATTCTCATTTAAAACATCTTATAAAGCTGTAGTCATGAACGTAATCCATTTTAGTTTTTCCCACACAGGTGAATAATGCTTTTCGTGCGCGTTGATTGGCAAGTGGTTAGCAAGTACCACTCACCAGAATTCAGCCGTAGAGGCAAATCTCACGTCAAGAGTTTAATTTACGAAGTTTTTCAGTTTATTGACTGAAATAAAAGACTGGTTTTTTTTTAGGCATATACTAAAACAAGTGTTTACCCTAGTGTCGGTGATAATGATAGAGACAATCTCCGTCACTATTCACCTCCACTTCGGTAAAATAATTATTGACTGCCTCTACAGACAGAACTTTCCAGTGAATACAAATGGTTATTTTACTTACTCAAGTTTGTTTTTTTTTTCTTCTAGTCTACGGATATAATAAGAGTTTGTTAGATTTGTAGCCGACTGGTTTGTGCTTTATATTTTTTCTTAAATCTGGCAAAGAAACCAGCCGTAAGTTTGAGCCGCAGGCAATTGGTAGGTGTGGCAAAACTTGAGATATTTCCATTCATCAATGGAAAGAAAGCTTACTTTAATGGCTTTCATGAAAACGTCAGACATTGGGGCAAACAATAAATTGCGATAAATTTAAATATTAAGGTGTGAAAATACATTCCAAATCAAACTATATTAAAGTTCACATGGCAACCAGGTGGACATGGTTTGATGCTTCTCTGGTTTAAAGATTTTAGAACAAGTCTCTGTAAGAATCAAACATCTTGGGAAATAAAAATTTTCAACCCCCTTCAAATTTTGCATGCAGTAAGGCGCTCAGGTGGGATGCACAAAAACGCCCTTTTAAAAGGTCGCAGCACTCTTGTTGCCATGGTAACGACGGCTGCCTGTTTGAGGCCGAGGGTCTCATTTTCATACAAAAACGTCGCAAAAAGAGAGTGAAATGTTTATTTCTCTATCTCAAGCTAAATACAACAATACAAAATGGCACTTCTACCATACATAGGGACATCATTCGTCTTCACTTTTATTTATTCAATTTTCCCTTGGAGTGAATGTGAACACACCAACAGATTATTCATCTCGGTACAGTTTCGGTCATTTTTGTTGTCGGGTAAAACAGGGAAAACATTTATCTGAATTTCTCCAAAAGTACACCAATTCTGGAACTACCCACCTAGCTGGTTATAATATTCTAGTTTTTAAATATGTAAAAATCTCTGCGGGCCTGCCTCTACTTTTTATAGGGGCAATTCGCGAAAAAGCTCAAAAAATCTGATATTGCATAATTTGGCGATGTTTACATCTAATGTTCTCAACAACAAATGTTTCAGACAAATGAAACGTGCGAGGCTTTGAAAGAATGTTATGTTATAAGCAATATCCCTAACAGAAATCTCGCCTCTGGTTGTCATCTTTTAAAAAAATTGATTAACCTTCATGGAGGACAATTCGGCGTAACTACAAACATATACCTCAAATCGTGTGTATATCATCCAGATTCCGAATGCTGCACCTTCTTTCACAGGAATTTGAGCAATGTTTCAACGAATATATCGGACAGACCAAACGTCAGTTTGGTACACGTTCGAAAGAGCATCAAAAAGCGGTTTTCTTTGTCAAAAACGAAAATTCAGCTTTATCGGAGCACAATTGCCTGACTAACCATACAATTGGGCGGGATAATTCTAAAATCATCACCGCTAATCGGCGTTACCACCAGCGCCTTTGTTTGGAAGCCTGGCATATGAACTCCGCCCACGCTCCTTTAAATCGTGATGATGGCGGCTTACTTCCTGACGCCTATTTACACCTCGACAAAAAAAAAGGTAGCTAATTAGTGATGGTATAAAAGGACCTCTTGTTGCAACGATTAGATAACCCCTGATGAAGGCAATAGACAAGAGTGTCGAAACGTTAGGTCTATGAATTGTAACTATTTCGGTTACATTCAAACCAGAAAATTAAACCAGAGTAACATAAAACCGTGTCACATTCCAAATCATTATTAGAGAATATTCCTGTCGCGTTCCCAGCACAGCAGACACGGGGTGCAGCGTAATTGGGTCCGCCAGGTCAACCACAGTGAAGTACGGGACGGACAGCAGACTCTTACACACGTTTATTGGACTAAATCATGTAATCAGGCCAGTCGACTTGTTACAACACTTGCGGTGAAAACTAAAAGGAATGCACGATCTGTCTAAGCTAAGGAAACGAGCTAAACTACAAATCTGACGACAGAAAACACAACTAACGATCGTGACTTACGTCTGATCTTGGCTCCGGGGATGAGAAAACTCCAAGTTGTAAAAAAAAAACTCCGAAAGACTCCTAAAAGACTCCTCTTTGCTCCAGGGACAACTCCTTAAAACTAAACTACTTCTATGACGTAAAGAAAACTGAACTAAAATAACTCTTTGTGCGGCTTGCCAAAAGAGGATATTTGATAATCACGCAATCAAAACGAAACAAGGTTACATTAAAGCGTTCTTTGTACAGCAAATTTTATTTTTCCTTTTTTGGTCTTGTGACACAAAACGTTCAGGCATCTCTCTTATTTTTCAAAATGCTTTTTTTTTCAAATAAAGGACACGCACCAAAACTCTTGAAAGTTTTACTTTTCAAGAAACACTCCCCAAACTTGGGCGATTTTCTTTAATACATAAACGTCAGACAGAAACATGCCTCCATGAAGCACTTTTTGATAAACTTCATCGCAACGGCTGTTTAACTGAGATTTGATCATACTTCGATATACTTCAACACAGATAAGCTATCTCTATTTATCAATAAAAGACTAAACATTTTGTGGGCTTCAAGACAGTCGACTTATGTACTAACCCACGAATTAGAAATAGAAGGTTTTCGTTAAAATATTTACCCTTCGGGATGTTTGAGATCATTTTCACATTCCCATTCAACTAAATGGTCTCCTTAGTCCATCAAGGAAAGAAAAAATGTTTCAACATTTTTTGGCTCTAAATCTCATCTAACAGCAACAAAGATCGAGGCCGCGCGAATCAACATGCTCCTTGAGGGACCTGGTACAGGGTTAGCCAATCCCAGTATTCATTTGGACGCAGTATTAGCAAAGTCGCGTATTTAGAGCCAAAGTTCACGAAATTCATCGCCAAGATCAGCAATCAAAGATTTGAGATTATAACATGTTATATGGTTAGTTTATTTTTGTCAAGAACAGCATCGTGAGTTATACCTGCTATAGTGACCCGAGTAGCTCGTGTTAATTTAGAAGAAGTATTCTCAAGTTTTACAGTTTTCTTTTCTTTTCTCTCTTTGCGGTGATTAAATATAATTAACGCGCGAACACCAAGTACCAGCAGGAAATGCTTTGGCGAGACACTTAATTCGGCCGGCGTGCGTGCCGTTACCCTGTAGCTTTCTGGCTGCTGTCACAAGTTTAATCCAAATTTGAAATCGAATTTTAAATCATATACTGACGTATTTGGTGATGTTTCTCCTATCAAAGCTTCGCGACATTCTGTATTACGAAATAATACGGAAAAAGCAAGATGTGAAAGCAGAATTTTTCAGTAGCAAGTCTTACATTAATATCCTACTATCATTTGAAAGTAGACCACGATAGTTGACATATTTTGGTCTCTACATGATAGTGTTCTTGTATCGAGATATGGATGTACGCGGAAAGTTTTGAGAGCAATTATTTTTATATCTCTCGGCCCTATAGAGGGGTACATTCAATTTGAAACAAACTCTTGAATTTAGCGATCCGTTGAGTGAAATACGGCCCGCTAATTTGACCAATCATATGTGCCTACTGACTGAGAGATATAATAATGTTTGTACCAGACTTCAATGTTCACATTTGCATGTTACAAAACGTTATGAACTACTGGTAGTAGCACACACACAAAAAAAACAAAACCAAGCTACCATTTCACAATTTTTCCGTTGTAAAGATCATTCGTCTTCAATGTTTGTAACAAACTTTAATGAGTTTAAATCAGTACATTACAAAACGATAAAAACAAGAGTTAACAATTGAATGAAACGTACTGAGAGTCAAAAAAAAGAGCACGAAAAACGAGAAGCATTGTTTGAAAACGGTAAAACCAATGCAATACCGTATTTCTTCCGAAACGAAATTGAAAATTGATTTATGTGAACATGCTCGCTGGCACGAGCTCACATAACGCAAATCAAGAAGATAACAAGCAAAAACTGACTGAGCCTTCGAGGTCAAGATTTTCATGCGCTTTGCATTAGACAAAGTGAATTTTCTTATTTTTCTCTCGTTAGGATGCAAATTTATAGACTGATACGAAACTGAGATAAGTTACTTTATTAATTTCGTGCATTATCTGACCCAGTATTTGTTTTAGGGCCTGCACTTCCGGAAAAAGATTGTTTGGGAACAAAAACTGTGTAGACTTTTCCATTAATTACGAAGGTATCGTCCGTTGCGGGGATATCCCTAAAAAAAGAAGAACGAACATAAAACACGTTTTCCGCGAATAAGCAAATGCTAGAGTTATTTACAATGGAACTTCACCAAATCGAAATGCTAAGGGATAAACTTCAAAAACTGTGCCTATGTTTACGCATTCTACACAACTGTAAGTAGATTTCGCCTACGGATGTGTTTTGACAAGAGTTGTGGTACAGTTCCTGAAGTGATAATGCAATTTTAAGGGAGTTAGCTGAAGGAGAGTTAGATCATAGACGCCGCCATTTTAAATCGGCCTGGAAGCTTAGCCGTTCTTATTCCTCCTCAGTGATCTACTTTAACAATTGGAAGCTATACTAACTAGCATTTTTGACTCCAATAACCTTGACTCAAATAACAAGTTTTACTGTGACCGAGAAACACATTTAAAGCACAATTCTCGAACGGTTCAATGACTCTTTGTAATCTCAAACCGTTTTTATACTTTCTTTCTGATTTTCCTTTCGTGGCCTAAAATTTTGTTTCCCTTAAATTGTCCTTTCGGCATAACTTTCACAACTGAAGAAGCTAAGAGCAAATTTCTTTCGTTCTCCTCATACAATTCCTAACTTCAAGAGGAAAACATCCTTACTTTGGTACATTGGAGTAATGTTGTCCCCCTGTTTTACTCCGTTGCTTTTTACAGTAGGAGCACTCACATCCCGTTAGGGGATTTTCGTCATGGTCAAGTGAAGACCGACCACAGATCACGTTCCGGACAAACTGTATATCCATTTCAAAAGTGGAAGGCTTCTTATTCCTCATAGCAAAGGTATCTGCGTCGAAGGCAATCAACTGAGTAAAACAAAGATATTTCAGATAAAATAAAGGAGGATAACAAAATAAATCCTAAATAGGAAAGTGGTTTTGGAAATTACCACAATAAGGCATTGTAGGAGCCCAGGGTAAACTTGAGTTGATTGTCAGACTGTTTAGTAATATTCACCATCACTGTCATCGTCATCGTAATCATCAACATCACCATAGTAACGATTCCGGTAACGAGGGCTCTATTGACCGAGTTAAATAAAAATTTTATTGTTGCAAAAGGCCCACGAGATTCAACTGGGCGTTGATGTAGGGACCAAGAGGCTTGAAAATGAAAATGTAATATTGCTTAAAACAACTATTTGTTAAGATTCAGAAAAATATCATCATAAATTGAAATCGATTCTGAGTGAATATTTTTTCACCGATCTGTTTTGTTTTTCCAGAATACTTACATTTCTTTTGTAATCATTTTGTTTTTCCAATCCTCTCCTAACCTTGACCGAGCGAAGGATTGAGGCCACAATCTGGATCACGTCCCCAAATGAAGGGTTGACATGTTCCCTTGACAATTCCTCAATAACTTTAAGTCTTTCCTTGTCTCTTTTCTCTTCCCTTGGATCAACAGGTCGTGGTAGAATGACTGACTGTGCCAGAGGTACACCCTCAGATAAAGGTGTGTGAAATCGCAGTGAGAGACCTTTACGGATTATGTGTCGACGCTTGATACACTTCAAGTCACGTCCTTTGTCCACTGTCTCATCCAATATAATTGCCTAAAGACAACAACAACAAAAAAACCAAACAAACATGAATAACAGGAAATTTAGTAGGCCTCTATGTAGAAAGGTTTTAATTCATGTTGTGGGAGCGGAGAAAAAAATAAAGTCTGACTTGCAAAAGAAGCAAGAGTTAAAGAAAACGTGCGAATAGATTAGGGATCCTTTTCCGCGCGTGACTACCCTTCGTGCTCACCACGTGTTTGGCTAAACCCCGTTGGAAAACGCCAAAAGGATTACACCTACTCCATAGGGTGCAAATGGACATTACGAGAGTTCGTTGCAACTTTTGTAGTAATTCTCTTTCATCTAACTTCCACTGTTCCTGCCCCCCTTCTTCGAATACTCTTTCAAGAGATACCCCCACCCCCCCTCGAAAGAAAAAAAGCGGCTTCATATATCGCCACCATTTTGGATACATCTGGTACACACTTTGGATACATTCCAAAAGTTTATTTGATTACCTTTGCCAGTAAAACACTCTCCACCAAGGATTTCACTGTCATCTTTGTTCGCTCCTTGATCACTCTTCTCTTCTCCCTGTTTCTGTTGAGAGCCAGTTTATTCTTGACCAAGATCTGGGACCGATCCTTGTTGAGGTCTCTATGCAAACCGTCCGAGTTTTGACCTGACGTCAGATGTGTGATTGATCGGCGATCCTCTGAAGCTTTGTGTTCACCAATCAGAGACTTTCCTAAATGAATTATTTCACGTCAGACGACTTACCACCTCATTATCGGGAGTCCATTGTAACACCCAGCTAAAGCATCTGTCTTAATTTAATTACCGTATTTTATTCTTACCGTTCCGTGTGCCAAGCCCTCCATTTTATTCGACGGATTTAGACACTGCCTAAATCCGTCGGATAAGGTGGAGACATACGGTTAGTATAAAGCATGATGTTTTGTTGCGAACGAAAGACAACGAAAAGACTCTTAGTCTCCTAAAAAAATTCAAACATCAGACTTTCGTATTTCGAAATTCAAAGTTCTACTGGTCAAGCTGCGCCTTTTTATGAAGCGTTCTCGTTATATTTTAATCACCTGACCGCTCTTTATCATCGTCCTCATCTCCTTCTGTCGTCAAATCGTTCCTAAAGTAGATCACTTCAGCAGATGAGCCCTCATTTTCTGAAGACAACAACGGCACCTTGCAATCGTCGTCATCGTCCATTGTGATGATGACGTCATCGCTGGCAGCTACTGGTGTCTTGCACGACTCAGAGGAGGAGTTAGAGCCACCTGTTTCCATTGTAACGATGTTTCTCAGTTGGCGAGAGGCCGCTATATCATAAATAGTAGAAATAAAACAAAAGAAATTGTATGAGGTTCTTTTTAAAATGCAGTTTCTTGCCCATCATTCATCCATTATTCTGGAATTTAGCTTCGATCAGATTATTTTACCTGAAATGGTGGACGATTGAGGTGGAGCCGCCAGGTCTCTTTCTGTTTCAGCTGTAATCTTTGCATCACTTGATGAGGAAGATCCAGAGGATTGAGGCATCCCAGGCTTCAGTTCAGAATCCTTACGAGTGTCGAGGAGGGTCATATATTCCACAGAACAGCCACTCGCTGAGGTAAAGTGCGGCGTACCGATGGAAGAGCCCAGTGATGGTGCAGACAGGGTTGATAACGAGGCCGGTTGCGAAGAATCGGAGGGCTCCATATTTACTCGTACTTCTCGGCCGTGAGTATCTGTGGAAAAAATAGACAATTCTAGTCGTTTCAATCAAACAAGAAGTTATTGCTAATGTTTGTTTTAGATCTAAAATTGAATTTATCGAGCTTTGCTTTACTTCTTTTTTTTTCTTACTTTTAAGTATACCTTTTGGCGGCGGAGATTGCGGCGGAGAGACTTCCAAATTCAATCCTATGTCTTTATCTGGGGGTTCTGTGGTAAGAATAAGGAGTTAAACACTGAGCAAAGTCTATGTTAATACTATTTAATTTAGATGAGAGACTTTCTCAGATGTGCTTATGTTCACTTCACTTCATTTCATATAGCTTCGCTACACTTGACTTTACCACTCTGATTTCAGCTGTTTGTACACCAAAGAAAACACATACCCATAGGCTGTGTTCAAGAAATTTTTACCTATTTCTTTGAAATTGTCTGTGAAAAGATTCCTGACATGGCGAGTAAAGTCGAATTTGGCGGTAAAAATGAGCTTTGGTTTTACTCATTTTCCTTATAATCTGCGAACAAACCCCGTGGTAAAAAGATGAAATTATCTTGCCCACATCTATGTAAAGAGTATGATTTTTTTTGTTTGCTGTTTGTTTTTTACGCTGTCTTTCTCACTTCCTTTATCATCCTGAAGTTCCAGGCCTTTTCATTTAAGACTAACATTCGGTTTACCTCCTTCATCTTCCTTCTTGTTTTTCTCTTTCCTTTCTCTAGGTTTTCTTTCATAGATGATATCTTCATCTCCGTCCTCCGCGATGGCCTGGTTCGAGGCTGATAACCGACCTCGTTCAAGATCACCTCGATCTCGTCCAGCTCTCTTCCTACAATTTCTCCTGTAAAAGTTTCGACCGAAAATCACTTTCAAAAGCACTAGAAAACAAGCTGAGATGAATATTTCAGTTCACTGACAGACTTTACATAAACCAACCACAAGTCTGGATTGACTGGCTTAAAATCATGTTTAAGCATATTTTAAGTAAGCATCTTCTTTGTTATAATTTTTGACTATAATGTGGTCTAATTGGTGGCAGATGAAAAAGATTGCTTACCAAATGCGATAAAACACAGTCCCAATCGCCATAAACAGAAACATTCCTCCTATAAGTCCTCCGACAATGATCGAGGACCCATCGTCCGCAGGATCTTTAGTCTCAGATTGCGATTCCACTTCTCCTTCTTTTTTCTTTTTTCTTTTGGGTTTTTTATTTTCATCGTGAGACTTGCGTTCATAATCCATGGCTGACCTCCATCGGGGATCAGCAGACGCCATATTTGTGGGCTTGATGTTTTTCTTCGTGTCTTGTACGGTAGATGTGCCTCGCGGTTTGTGTTTGTTACCATCTGTGTTAGGATAATCATCTGGTAGGTGTGATTCCTTCTTATCTCGACCAAACGATTTCTGTCTGGTTTCCCCTTGGGTGCTGTCTTTGGGAATATCTTGTTATTTGAACGAGAAATTTAAGATTTCTCAGGATTGAACTTAGACAACCAACATTTGATATTAGGTTGAGATGAATCTGAACTTAAAGTGATCTCTGACTGCTTAGTCTAAGTCGATGTCAAGGTTGAAGTCAATTCTCTAAAACCAAACATGTCATGTGATTGGCCCAACTCTTGGAATAGAACCTGTCCTGAGATTGACCCGAATCACCTTCGAATGGAAGAGCAACGGATCTCGGTGTCATCGACACCAAGTGTCGACGAACCAACCGCAGCATGTACAGTGCTTTTCACTTATCAGATGAATACTCCAAACTGCATTACTGAGTAACAACTTTCTTCCTCTGTCCATTTAACCTAGGATCTTATTCCTCCCTATACCCACCCCCTTACCTCCCCCCCCCCAAAAAAAAAGGAACAATGGAAAACGTTGCAAAGAACATCCTGTAAGGTCGGTGCCCTTTCATTTGCATTGAGGCTGGTTTCCCTGTTTCTTATTAATTATCGGTAAGATCTTGCGCGTATCAGCTTTAGCTTCCAGAGAAGCCGGAGCAGTTACAGCAAAGCCATTCATCGGAAACAAAATTTCTTTTGTATTGACTTTGAAATTAAAACCTGAGCGTTCTGATGCAGAGATATATGCGACAACTTTGCGAGCAGAACACGCACAAAAATGAAGTAAAACACGATTCTGATATGGTTTCCTCTGTTAATCTGATTGCTATTTGAGCTGAAACCCGAAGTTACTTCATCACCGTAGAGAGAACTTTTAAGTTGGCCAATAATTTCCCTACGATTATTTAACTTCAGTCTAAAAGTAAGAGCTCATGGGTGACACGTCATGTTTTCTTACACTTTTCAGTTTTTCTTACAAAATTCCTTTGACTGTTACAATAGCACAGATAATTCACTCTATCTCTCTCTTCCTCCAAACAAAAGGCACAATGTGCAATTTTGGAAAGATCGATTCACTTATACTTTCATCGGCAGAAGTTGTATTTCCAGTTTCTTACTAATCATCGAGTTTATCTTACCTGTACCAGGTGCTTCCTGAGAAGCTGCAAAATCTCGTCCACGCTTGACGGCTTGCTTTAAGAGCGATTTCAACTTAAAGTTTGATGGACGTTTTTTATCACTACCACGGTGCTTTAAGACGTTTTCACTGGCAGCTCTTCTCATCATAATTTTCTCCCGGTTAGCATGATTGTTATTCACTGCGGATTCCATAGACTTGATATCTTCGATATTATCGTTAATGGCCTGTGCATCGTCTGCAGAAGTACGAGGCCTCCCTCTGGTCGTAGCTGATGTGAGGATGCGCCCTCCGTGGAAGGTCGAGTGGGGCCTGGGAGCCGGAGTTGTTAATAACCCTGACACTTAAAGGAGAATCCAAAGGTGTCATGACATGTGTTTCTTACACTTTCTGCAGCATTTACTGTGCTTTTCACTTATCAAATCAATCCCTCCACTTCACGGAATTGCATTAATTATGAAAATTATTTTCACAGTCAATGCAATTTCGTGAAGTGGGGGGATTGACCTGATAAGCGAAAAGCACAATAAATGCTGAAGTAGTTACTAAGTAACAGCTTTCTTCCTCTGTTCATTTAATCTAGGATCTTCCTCCTCCCTATCCCCATCACCTGTTTCCTATCAACTATCGATAGGATCTTGCGCGTATCAGCTTTAGCTTCCAAGAAGCCGGAGCAGTTACAGAAAAGTCATTCATCGGAAACAACATTTCTTTTGTGTTGACTTTGAAATTAAAACCTGAGCGTTCTGATGCAAAGATACATGCAACAACTTTGCGAGCAGAACACGCACAAAACTGAAGTAAAACACGATCCTGATGTGGTTTCCTCTGTTAATCGGATTGCCATTTGAGCTGAGAACCGAAGTTACTCATCACTGTAGAAAGAACTTTTAAGTTACCAGGTACTTTCTTAACGATTATTTAAAAATAAGAGCTCATGGGTGACACGTCATGTCTCTCTACACTTTTCAGTTCTTCTCACAAAATTCCTTTGACTGTTACAATAGCACAGATAATTCATTCTATCCCTCCCTTCACCCAAACAAAAGGCACAATGAGCAATTTTGGAAAGATCGATTCACTTATACTTTCATCGGCAGAAGTTGTTTTTCCAGTTTCTTACTAATCATCGTCTATATCTTACTCGTACCAGGTGCTCCCTGAGAAGCCGCAATGTCTCGTCCTCGCTTGACGGCTCGCTTTAAAAGCGATTTCAACTTAAAGTTTGATGGAAGTTTTTTATCACTACCGGGGTACTCTAAGATGTCTTCATTGGCAGCTCTTCTCATCATAATTTTCTCCCGGTTAGCATGATTGTTATTCGCTGCCGATTCCATAGACTTGATATCTTCGATATTATCGTTAATGGCCTGTGCATCGTCTGCAGTAGTGCGGGGCGTCCCTTTGGTGGTGGCTGATGTGAGGATGCGCCCACCGCGGAAGGCCGAGTTGATAACCCTGAAACTTAAAAGAGAATCCAAACGTGTCATAACATGTGTTTCTTACACTTTCTGCAGCATTTACTGTGATTTCGCTTGTCAAATCAATCCCTCCACTTCACGAAATTGCATTAATTATGAAAATTATTTTCATAGTCAATGCAATTTCGTGAAGTGGGAGGATTGATCTGATAAGCGAAAAGCACAGTAAATGCTGAAGTAGTTACTAAGTAACAGCTTTTTTCCTCTGTTCATTTAATCTAGGGTCTTACTCCTCCCTATCGCCATCCCATTTTTCTTATCAACTATCGATTGGATCTTGCGCTTTAGCTTCCAGAAAAGCCAGAAGGGTTACAGAAAAGCCATTTATGGAAAACAACATTTCTTTTGTATTGACTTTGAAATTGAAATTTGAGCGTTCTGATGCAAAGATATATGCGACAACTTTGCGAGCAGAACACGCACAAAACTGAAGTGAAACACGATCCTGATGTGGTTTCCTCTGTTAATCGGATTGCCATTTTAGTTGAGACCCGAAGTAACTTCATCACTGTAGAAAGAACTTTTAAGTTGCCGGGTAATTTCTCAACGACTAAAAATAAGACTTTTCTGTTCTTCTCACAAAATTCCTTTGACTGTTACAATAGCACAGATAATTCACTCTATCCCTCTCTTCACCCAAACAAAAGGCACAATGAGCAATTTTGGAAAGATCGATTCACTTATACTTTCATCGGCAGAAGTTGTTTTTCCAGTTTCGTACTAATCATCGACTATATCTTACCTTTACCAGGTGCTTCCTGAGAAGCCGCAATGTCTCGTCCTCGCTTGACGGCTCGCTTTAAAAGCGATTTCAACTTAAAGTTTGATGGAAGTTTTTTATCACTACCGGGGTACTCTAAGATGTCTTCATTGGCAGCTCTTCTCATCATAATTTTCTCCCGGTTAGCATGATTGTTATCCGCTGCCGATTCCATAGACTTGATATCTTCGATATCATTATTAATGGCCTGTGCATCGTCTGCAGTAGTGCGGGGCGTCCTTCTGGTGGTGGCTGATGGAAGGATGCGCCCTCCGTAGAAGGTCGAGTGGGGCCTGGGGGCCGGAGTTATTAATAACTCTGAAACTTAAAAGAGAATCCAAACCTGTCATGACATGTGTTTCTTACACTTTCTGCAGCATTGAATGTGCTTTTCACTTATCTAGGGAACCCTCCTCCCCGGTCCCACGAAATTGTATTAATGAAAATTATTTTCATAGTCAGTGCAATTTCGTGAAGTGGAGGGATTGATTTGATAAGTGAAAAGCACAGTAAATGCTGAAGTAGTTACTGAGTAACAGCTTTTTTCCTCAGTCTGTTCATTTAATCTAGGATCTTACTCCTCCCTTTCTCCATCCCCTGTTTCTTATTAATGATCGATAGGATCTTGCGCGTATCGGCTTTAGCTTCCAGAAAAACCAGAAGGGGTTACAGAAAAGCCATTTATCGAAAACAAGATTTCTTTTGCATTGACTTTGAAATTAAAACCTGAGCGTTCTGATGCAAAAAATATATGCGATAACTTTGCGGGCAAAACACGCACAAAACTGAGGTAAAACACGATCCTGATGTAGTTTCCTCAGTTAGTCGGATTGCCATTTGAGCTGAGACCCGAAGTAACTTCATCGCTGTAGAAAGAACTTTTAAGTTACCGGATAATTTTTTCAGTTGTTCTTACAAAATTCCTCTGACTGTTACAATAGCATAGATAATTCACTTTATCCCTCTCTTCACCCCAAAAAAAAATGCAGAAGGAGCAATTTTGGAAAGATTGATTCACTTATACTTTCATCGGCAGAAGTTGTTTTTCCAGTTTCTTACTAATCATCGTCTATATCTTACTCGTACCAGGTGCTCCCTGAGAAGCCGCAATGTCTCGTCCTCGCTTGACGGCTCGCTTTAAGAGCGATTTCAACTTAAAGTTTGATGGAAGTTTTTCATCACTACCGGGGTACTCTAAGATGTCTTCATTGGCAGCTCTTCTCATCATAATTTTCTCCCGGTTAGCATGATTGTTGTTCAGAGATCCTGAAACTTAAAAGATAATCGACAAGTGTTGCAAAATGTTTCCTTTCACTTCCCAGTCGTTCTCTACATGGCATCGCATGTTACAGTATTCCAATATTTTTCTCTATCCTCTCCTCCTCTTTATTATTGCACTTATTTCTTTTGCTTTTTGTCTAAATGCTTTTTGTTTTCAATTTCTCAACAAATCATAATTTCTTTGTCAGTCAAACCGAAAACCTCTTGATTGCGCTGATGCAAAAAAAAAAGGCTGTTGCGCCAGAAAAATGAACGCGAACGAGCAGAACACGCGCAAATTCAAAATAAAGGCTATCCTTACCTTCGCTGTAGCTGAAACAAATCAGTAACCAAAACAGAATACTGATAAAAACTTTTTCCTTCTTCATAATGGACGCTGAGTTAACCATACGGCAAACGCAACATTCTCGCAAAAAAGAAATAAGCCAACTAACTTGCTTGTCGTCATAGAGACTAATTACACTCATTAGTGACGTGAAATGTTCGAGCGCGCGCGCCTGAGTGGCGCTGCCAACTGTCAATCTTTGAAACACGTGACCCTACAAAATGTGGTTATAAACGACATCCTCATTGACAATAAACTTGAAGTTTTGAAAATTTACAACTGTTTGCGCCAAAGTAGAGAAAGTCAGTTGAGACACAAACATCACTTCCTGCAGATAGCGTACTAGGCTCATAGTGATACTGTAGCGATCACGAACAAAAAAGATTGATGCGAGATAATATATAGATTTAGGCAAGACTAAAAGCGGAGCTCGCTTTTTTTTCGAGATATTATCTCTTGTAGCGTTTTCTGAAAATGAATGAGTAATTATTTGGGTCTATAACCTAAATACGACTATCACAAAAACGAAATTAGTACTCTAACAGTTCTAACTAAATAGATTCGTGAGGAGACAGAAAAATGGGAAAAATTGTGAATTTTAAAACCATTAGAAGACAAAAGCGTTCATTTTTTTTATATATTTGCCAATCATCAAAAAAATAATTTTTTCGTTGAATTAAGCAACCTGTTAGTCATGCTGATCATTTTCAGAAGTATTTTTTTAGCATAGCATTTGAAAACAGTTGCATGTTGAAAACAAGTGCATGAGTTAAAGCCAATTATATGAGCCCCACATCAAAGACAATTAATTGACTCCTTAGTTAGGGCTTTTTGCATTTCGCAGGCATGAGAAAAATTTTAGTTTCACGTGACATTTCTTTATGAAAGAAAATTCTCGCGCTGATCTGAATCCATATGACTGTCCCGCACGCATTCTTCAACAACAGAAAAAGTTTTTTAATATTCATCGATGAGCCAAAAAGCCAATGTAGTCTACCTCATCTGAACCACGCAGATCAAAATTGCCTAACAAGAAATGTCGCATCATCTGTCACTTTCATATTGCTAACAGAGGGCATTTTTCATTACTTTTGGTGATTGCCCCGGGAAAAATTTATTGAAATTAAAAATACTAAATAAGGTTTTACTTTGTCTAAAAGTATTAGAATTTCATTGATGAATTCAATGCTTTAGTGTTTTTATACAAAAACAAAATTTCATTCAGCTTTTTCGTGATTTTTATAGTGAACGCTGAAATGGCTTCCCACGAAATTGCGTAACAGTATGCGTTTTTGCCTTCTTGATAAAATAAACTTTCGCTCTCTCTGTTATGAGCAAGTAATCGCATGTTTCTTTGAAAAATGAAGGATTGATATCACTTGTGTTCTCCGCAGTCGCACTGAGACTTCCCTCGTAGCGACTCAGTCAAGTTCTGCAACTTCTGAAAACATAAGCTATATCAATCCTCAATTTCACTCGGCCCCACTGATTAGTTTACATGCGATTATCTTATTAATAAAACTAGATGATACTTAAAACTACGGTGGCCCATATCTGCAAACACATCAAACAAATATCGAAACATAACAGTATTATCGAAGCACAACACAACGTCATCGGAACACAACACGGTATTATCAAAACACAACACAATACATCGAAACACAACTCAGTATTTGCAAAACACAACGCAAATCTCCCAAAACACAACACAATATTTGCAAAACACAACACAAAATTTTCCCGATTACGTATTGAAGGATGTCAATATTATACAAAGTATAAACCCATCATTGCTCAACCGCTGACATGCTTTGCACTTTCCCGCCATTTTTGTTTGCCATTTTGCTTGGAAAAAATGTTTTGTGCTAGCTGTAGAGCTGGTTTGAAATCTTTTTCAAAATTTTGCCCTTTTTGTTCACAAAAGGTAGAAAACGACTCTAGTGCAAGTGTAACAGATGAAGGTGCAACAAAATGCACGAGCTTCAAAAACTATGCTGCAAAGAAAAGCGAAGAAGGGTCGACTCATTTACGATCAAGTGGCTCCAAGAGAAGAGGGCAGAAGAAAAAAGAATAGGATCCCTTCGCGCTAATCAATATGGGCCTGATGTGATTTATTGGCCCAGATGTGACAACTCCGAACCGTGGCAAGACATTACCCTTGGAAGTAAGAAAGGATTCTGGATATGCAGAAGTCTTTACAGAGGCCTTGGTGAAACGCCAGGCTCATGACCAGGCATTTGACTCGAAGAGGGCCGGAAACTGGTTTACCCAGATAGACAACTGACCATGAATCTTCCAGGTCAGCGAGAAAAAGAGTTCACTCTACGAAACTAAGAGAAAGATTTAGGTAAACCTTACAACAGAATTACTTTGTACCTGTGCCCAGAAGAATCGGAAGACGAATTTATATTGGACAGTGAAACTGAGACCGAGCCTGACACTTAGGGTGTTAGGTAAGATACTTAGTCACTCTAAGCTATTTATGCCCCTGGATTTTTTGGGCCTTAAGAACAAGAAAAGGAGGAAGAGGAAATTATACGAGAGGGGAAATTAAATTAGCTTTTATTTGGACACTATACTCATTGTGGAATGTCAAAAGCTATATCCTTTTTCAATATTTTTTCCAGAAACCTAAGCTTACATTATTCCATTTTAACATACTCTTATCTTCATTATGAATATTTAGTGGGATCCTATACTAGATCATTACCATTATGTGTGTTTATTGACAAAACTTGACCTAACTTTCATTTAGAAAAACTTAACAGTTTGTACTGAAGTTGAATAATACAGAAGGAAAACCCCAAATTGTGTATCTGAGACCTTACATTCAAGGTTTTCCATGACAAATATTTAGTTTCAGTAGTGATGCAGATCACTACTGAACACAGAAAGAGAAAGGAAAATTCTCCCAGGGAGCATGACATGATCTGAGATAGAAAATGAAAAGGTTTACTATTGCCTGTTATTTTGAACTTGTTTATTGTCCATCATGCCCTGTTGAAATTGCTTCAAGGTGTATATAAAATTTTCTTTTCAGTGGAATTACCTCTTAGTAGATGAGACAGCTTTTTAAATAATTAATTAGCTTTTAATATCATATTTTTATAGGAGAAACAGTAACAACACCTCCTGATACAAGTGCACAGAAGTCAAATTCAAATTCAAGGTTGTCATTTCATGAAGACGAGAGAACCAAAAAGATAAAAGCTAAGAAACAGAAAGTAGTTGAAGAGGTAAAAATTCAAGTAGAAGTTATGGAGGAAGCAGATGGCCATTTGAAAAAGGTAAAGGACAGGACTCTTCCACTGATGGTTCCCACTAATGTCACTGCTGGAGAACTTCTCAAAGCAGCAACTGCAAAACACTGAAGACATTTCAAGCAGTTTAACTCACTGGAAAATTACTTCCTGCTCTATCCAGACCAAACTGTTGTAGACACCCTTCTTGGAAGTGCAAAGCCTTTTATACTTAACTGGTACAAGGAAGAACTTGGAAAACCTTTTTCCAAGTTGTACTTCTGATTGAGTAGTACAAGAGACATGGATAATCTTAATGCAGCTTCTGATTCTGAGTCAGTGAGCCAGGACCATCATTTCTTACTAATATGGGCATTACAGTGGAAGAGTCACAGTAAAGAGGTGTCTCACAAAAGCCCACTTATGGCACTACCAGTAATGATGTTGATGCAAAGGCTTCCCACCCTGCCAGAGGAAACAGTACCTGTCCAACCTGTTCTAGGGTATTTCCTCTGGAGGAAATTGAAATGCATGCTGACCTCTGTGCAGACTCTTGGACTGACCCTGTAGGAGAGCTTTACAAGGATGGCCAAATAGAAGAATACCTGGAGTCAGAAGAAACATCTTGAGATAAGCCTGCATCTGAAGGTAGCGAGCATGAAGGCAATATGTTGTGGCTTAAAGAAGTAGTGAAAACACTCCCACAAAATTTGGATTCTGGTAAGAAGACCAGGATAAGTATAACAAGGAAATGCATGTTTCAGGATTACATCAAAGAAAGGAAAAAGCAATGGTTCAATTCAAGACAACCACTTAAGGTGACCTTTAGTGGAGAACCGGCTATTGAAGATGGAGGGCCACTTCGTGAATTTTTCACAGGTTTGTTATTAGATGGACAGTTTGTACACATAACTAACCCTAGTATAGAATTTGTGGTTGCCCTTAATAACCAATAATACCCTTGATAGCCAATCCAGTCTGCCTAACAGATGAACTTTATTGATTTAACTTCTAGATAATAAGAATTATGTTAATAGTACTTTTTTAAAGCAAGGGATAATTTGGGAAGCACACTTATTTGTTTCCATGTTATGCATACAATGTATAGGAAGTATTACAGTGAGTCCTTTTCATAACTTTAATTTTTTTCTATTGAACAGAAGTACTCAAACACATCCAGTAGCACCTATTTCCAGATGGAATGCCAGTTAACAGCATGGCAGCATTGGCTAATAATGAGTTTACAGTAGCTGGAGAGTTAATGGCAGCCTCTGTTGTCCAAGGTGGTCCTGCTCCATGCTTCCTGTCAAAAGAGGCTTTTGGCTATGTAGTAGATGGCATTGATAGTGTATCTATTGACGACTGGATTTCAAAAGTGCGTAATGAGAAATACAAAGGAGCTATTGAAGAGGTAAGAACAATCAGTCACTATGTAAATTATGAGGATAAAAAAGTCTCCTTTTCACCCTGCCTGTCCTATAAGAATTTATTTGAAATATTCTAGTGTTCTGCTTTATTAATTATATTTTAGGTAAGGAGCTGTAGCACCGATGAAGAACTGAGGCAAGTTCTTATGAAAGATGACATCCTAGACATTCCATCATTTGTCGGCTACAGAGGTGGGCCATCAAAGGAAACAATGAGTTCCAAGGAATCAATATCAAGGTAGTTATTGTGACTCTGACTATATCTTGGCTAGGATTTTAGTTAACGTCAATATATTTGAAAGAGAAAGCTAAATTAGATAATAACGTCAGGTGATAATTTCTTTTTTAAAACTGGTTGTTTTGAAATCATAGTTTTTGTAACAGCAACAAATTGTATGGTTTATGTCATTTGGTATAGTCAAGGTCTTCCTTCCTTTCAGGCCTTAGGATACAGATTTTAACATCTCTATGTTGCAAAATTTATCTCATTTTAGGTCTATTAATTGAAGCAGAGATCTTCAATTTATTACAGCATAATTTGTACAAAATAGCTAATAAAAGATAACTTAATGCAAGAGCTTGTCTTTTTGATAACTTAAGAAGCAAATTTTTCATTTTCTAGACCCAATGCCATGACAGAATTTCAGACAATCATCCCAATGTGAGATAAACTAAGGATGGGCTTGGAGTCATTTTGCCTCCTTGAGGAAGTACGAAGCAATAAGGATGTTGTACAGCCTCTTTTTGTGGAAGGCACAATAAGCTTTGAGCCAACAAGGGATCTCATCCTTGATAGTGTGGTGGCTGAGTTTAGTGAGGATGGTACCAATGTGCAGAAATAAAAGAAATCGACACCTTTAAATACTTCCATGACTTCTTAATGGTTGCAGTGAAACAGGAAGTGAGTGAATGCTCTTGAAATAAACTTATTTTTTAAGGTGGCAAAACACTTTTTGACGACCTGTGTGCCAAATATTACAATTGGATTATACAATTAATTACTGAATATAAACATTGCTTGAAAAATCTGGTTTTGTTTATTTGCCAATGCAAACTTAAGTTTTATGGTTCTCTCTATCATTTGCCTGCAACAAACTTGTAAAATGCTCTCTTTGCTAAATATTTATGCTATATATTCCAAAATTAAATATTTCTTATGTTCAATCTCAGATGATTTGAAGTATTTTCCTGCCATTTTCTTGAACTTCAAGCAATTTAGTGGCTCTTAAGAAATAGATACATCTCCAAATTACTAAACCATGTACAAGCGTTGAGGTTCCCTTCTGAAATGTTTGCAATTTTCATTTCTACAGGTGAAAATGACTCAGCCACTGTAAGTCACATGCTGAAGTTTATCAGTGGCTTAGAACAAGTTCCACCTTTGGGTTTGCCAAATAAGATTACTGTAAAATTAAAGTATTTCTGTAGTGCCAATTGTCCATGCTGACCAACAGCTTCTACTTGTGGCCCCAGTATAACCTTTCCACTTCATTATGACACATATGATGCCTTTTGTGAATCTATGTCATCTGCCCTCATTGAGAGTTGTGGGTTTGGCTTTTTCTAAAATTTAAGTTCCAGTGTAGTTACAATACATAGCTACATGTACTTATGTACATTCATGGTTTATTGCAACAACAAAATGAAGTCATGCAGTCCTTGAAGTTTAGAGTTTGTTTTCTAGTATCAAATGACCAGTTGTTAACCCTATAAGACTGTTAAAACATACCAGTAATGGTCTATTACATTAACCCTTTACCTCCCAAGATCTGATTGTTAATTCTCTTCTCTTGTTGCCAAACAATTCCTTGCAATTTAGTTATGAGAATTTGGTGTAAGATCAAGATTAAAACTTCCTCCTGATAATTTTGAGTATTCTCATTAACTGTTTGCTAGAGAATGTAGGGATATCAAATGGAGAAATTACATGTTAGTCACTTCCAGGAGTTAAAGGGTTAAGAGTAGAAAGATTTTTATCTTTGAGTGTTGTTTAACTTGTCATTAATGGTCATCCCTCAAGTTGGACCTTACATGTAATTAAACATTTCCATAACTAAGTATAAGACAAACTACATGCTAGTTGAGTAGTGCATAAAACCCTAAAATTAAAACAATTTTTAATTTTCCAATTTCTAAGCTAGAAACCAAAAACAATGTGAAATGTTATCAGCAACAATGTAATTTCTTTACTGAAAGTTGCAACCAAAATGTTTTTGCATTTATGAACCTTATTTGGGGCTTGAAATTGATTGTACACTTTGTACCAGTTTATCTGAGATTTGCCTTATTGATGAGCAAACATACATGTATTAGATAGCATGGTAGATGTTTTTATAATTCAGAAAGTATCATGCTAACTTTTCCCATTAAACACATTTCTTGTACAGTTAATGTTTTGAGAAAGAAATGCTGAATGCAGTATTAAAATTGAATAGATGGAAAGTTAAACATCTGCAACTCTTGTTAAATATGAAAACAGAATGAGAGCCTCATCATATGTAGTAGGATACTGGATACCCTCAGTCTTCATTAAATATTCAAAATACTCCTGAGGTACATTCTCATCCTCTACATCCTGACATTCCAACTTCATATCATCAATTTCCTCTTGTGGGAAAAGAATGAGACAGTCAGTCCCACCAGAGTTTTCTGGCAAGAAGTACAAAGTATCAGGAACTCCTGCAACTGTTTTGTGGCATGACTGCCTTATATAGTGTGTATTCCAGTATTTCCTCATGTCATTTAAAGCACTTTCCAGGACACCACTGAAACAAAACCATAGACATTTATTATGTATTTCTTTTTCAAGATCCACTTTTCCACTGTCAACCAAATCTTTAAAAAAAGGTTGATCCACCAACTTGCCATTGACTTCCTGAAATGAGACTGCTAGTTTTCCACTCTCTGATTTCTAGTGGGACTTCCATACCTGTGAGCAAGCTCCCCAAAAAATGGTGCATTGTCAGAATGAAGGAAGCACTGCATCCCAGCGATAATGCCATTTTCAGTTCCATAGTCAGAGCAAACCAACAACAGACATCCTTTGTGTTCTTGCACACATTTTAAATACATGCTGGAACAGAGGGTAAGTTATTAGATTGGCAAGTTTTAAGCCATGTAACTTTCCTGCTGTAACCATCTACAGCTGCATGAATGGGAAAAATTAATGGTTTCAATTTATCATAACCTGAAATTTAGAAATAAGTATTAGAATAAAATCTGTTTCTTGCATTTTATCCCAGCACATCAAACACATACACACAGAGGGGCATTTGGTTAAAAACTAACCTTCAGCAATAATGTAAAACAGTGTCCAGATGTGAATGCCTTTTTATGTATAAATTTTTGGATAAAAATTTCAGAAATTTAAAGTAGCCTGGTGAGCATAAATCATTTGATGATGCCTTAAAAAATAAAAGTACAAAGATAAACAGGGCTTGCCATTATAAAATGGATTAAACAGAAATAAATTATATGCTTGTTTTTAAAAAACTAATATCTCACCATCAGTATGCCAGTACTGGTTTGGTCCATGTGAGTGATATATCCTATGGTGTAGGTTGTTTCTCATCCATGCTTTACTAGCATCGGGATCTAGTTCATGAAGAACTTGAGCAACAAGCCTCCTTGGAGCATGTACATGGTGTTCGAGTTAAAGTATATGCCACCTGTAACCTGCAAGCTGCCCTGGTCTTTGCATTTCACTTCTAATGATGTTCCAAACTAAGTCTTCATCAGCATTGATTTTCCTTTTCACAAGATTATCGTTCTGAAGTCTTCTTTTAAGGGTGCAAACACTCATGGTGATACTATGGTAGACCTGTAGCAGATCTGTGATTGTTTTGTGATCATAACCCAAATGGAAATACTATTCTATTACCACACTCTCTAACACATTGAATTGTGAAAGAGAAAATTAAGGAATTTCAAAATTATTTTGTAAAATGAGGCAATAGCAACTTCCAAGCTTGTTGGTAACACAAGTACCCTAGGGTTTCTTGGTATTGCCAATTTTCAAACATCACAACTAACATTTTGAGGTGTTGTGCGCCCGGATTATGTTTATTGGTGTTTCCCTTTAATTATATTAATACTGTAACAATAAAGCAACGATTCAAGGCCTCAACAACACAGTACTGACAAAACAATATTTATTGACCACTGTACTTCCCATAAGGGCTTTTCAGGGACAACACTCAAACCAAGCTACACTGAAATGTAATACCTGAAATATGTAGTTTTAATGCCTCTTGCTTGGAGCAGGCTAGTGGCCTACTCGGTCATCGTTTATCAGGCTTTACATAAAATATGCAGGAACATTTCAAACAAAGCCAAAAAAAAGAAACGATCACTAACCTTCTTGCTATTTCGTGCCACATTTGGGGCAATAATTCGGCGTGGAATACTGGCCCAGATTTTCGCCATAGGAGCTGCAAAAGTTCGCCGTTATCAAATATGGCGGAAAAGGTAACCTAGGACCCAGGCTGTCTGTCTATCTGTTACCAGTTCCTTGATATCTACTCATTTCTATGAAGAAGGCTGATTTGTGCAGAGGAGGCTGATTTCTACGAAGGAGGCTGATTTGTATGGATAAGGCTGATTTGTACGGAGGAAGCTGATTTCTACGAAAAAAGCTGATTTCTACGGAGGAGGCTGATTTCTACGGAGAAGGCCCATTTCTGAGGAGAAGGCTCATTTCTACGGAGGAGGGCATTTCGATGCAACAGGCTTACACTTGCATGGAAAATAGAAACAATTTCACAGAGGAAGCAAGTTTTTATTCAGGAAGGTGTTTGTTTTCCAGTGTGCAGCAGTAGCACTAGTGGGCTACCGTATGTTTCGATAATACTGTATTGTATTTGGAAAAGTGTTTGCTGTTTTTGTAGATATGGGCTACCGAATAAAACCCCCTAAAAACAATACTTTGGGTCCAGCAAAAGTTCAAACCAGCTCAGCGATGACAATGCAATTTTATTTCTACTTAGAATATCAAATATCGGTGATAGAGCGGAAATGCTATGATAAAGTTTGAATATCAAATATGACTTAACTTTTCGCACTTTGCCGTGTCTGGCTGATCCTGATACACTTTTCAGTCTCGTCAAATAGTTGTTTATGAACCAAGTTTTTGTTGTAGCATTGTCCATTAAAATTTTCTCCTGAAACAGATTTTGATTTCAATTGCCGACCAGAGCTACACTAGGTCTCCTTACGATTTTATATCGAACAAGAACAAGCAAAGCTTTATTTACATATTACCCACTTAAGAAAGATACTAACTTTCTTGCTGCACTTAGCAAATTCGATTTTGATGAAGAGTTCTCCGTAAACCTAAACTCAAATTAAAATAACGAAGCTGACACTTATTTTCAATAATAAGTAAAGAAAATTCGTTTGATAGGACGAATTAAAAAATAATATAGCCTTGCCGAGGTACGGATGCCGTTTTACAGATGTCACACACCGCTGAATTATGCACTTTTCGGAAAAGGTTCACTTTATCCTGAGCGTATCGCAAATCTCCTGACACACCCATCTGTTGAAAAAAGGGTCGTGCAGCATAAAATTCATTGAGAGGGTACCAATAATCCCAGGCATACTTGCGACGAGAACATCTTTCATGATTAAGTTGAAAAACTTTCAAAATTCCTTTCATCTCTTCAGCTTTTGTTACCTTTTAAAATTTACTCGCGTTTATTAACACCACGTTGCACTCAAAATCATGTTGTGTTACCTATACCAAGAAACTCCGCGATGACTGTAAAATTGAATACAATAATAATAATAATCCCTTCAGCGCCAGTCCATCCAGATTTTCATCACTTTTGAAGCAGTTTTGGATACACAGGTCACCAACGAGTTGTAACAGTTTTCTCAAAAAGAATGAAATAGAACTGTTATATCTACTTTGTTGACGTCGCATCGCAGTTTTAACCGAGTCCCTAAAATTTTAAAATAAACAAAGCTTTATATTCATAGTTACCACTTATATACTCGTGATCACGTTAAAAGACTTTCAAAATTCATGGCACATCGCTTTGGTTTCCCTGTACACTATTTTAAAATATCTCTGGATCCTAACACGATTATTTAAACTTAGCATTAGTCGGTTGCCCGAAAATAATTTGGATAAATAAACTAATGGCGAGTTTAAAGAATGTTTTCAAAGATGGATACGAAAAAGGAAAATTTCATCGAGCTTTTGACTTTTCGAATTTATATGTATTATCAAAGAAATATCAGATGAAAAAATGAAAGTTTAGTAGAAATTAAAGTACGTTCTAAAAGACTGCCTTAAAACGAAAACTTCATAGTTTTTAACATGGACACAACATGTCTAAGGTTGCAGATAACATTGCTCTCGTGTATCTTCATTCCTCAGTGATAAAGAGCCAGTGTAAATATCTGAATTATTATTAGAGACTTTTAGTTCAAGCTCAACTCTAAGTGGACTCCACTTGTAGCCGGTTGCAAGATGTCATTGTTTGTTCTTAGCGTTGTTTCAATGGGTCCCTGTACGTCGTGGGTCAGTTTGCCTTTTCTGTCATATTTAGCTCCAAACCAGTGTTGGGTTGTAGAAGCATTTGATGACGTGCAGCGGTGAGTGGGATTCATTTTTCCGTCCCCATACTCTCCGAAATTGTATTCCGCGACGATTCCACCTTGGGTTCCATCAAACTCACACCCTTTTTCTTTGCTTCTGTAACTCCTTATGGTCCAAGACGTATTTGATTTCTGTCTTGTCAGGGCAGTGCAATTAGAACAATTGATTCCTCTGATGTTAGCATATTCATACATCTGACAGATGGTCCAGTTACCAAAGATGTCATGACCTGCCAGTTTTGCGCGTGCGTAGTCCGTATGCTGCAGACCATCTGTAAAAAGTTACAAGTTGCTCTCAGATGTGTGGAGTGATCAGCAAGAGACTTCATCTGTGATAAGGATAATCGGTACCCGTTCCAATCCACTTTTTTTTTTGTCATTATTAATCTCAAAATTTACGCCAAAAGGTTTATTCTCAAAGGTATCTTTTTTAGCCAAGGAAAACGATTGTATCAGTGTCCATACAAAACTTGGTTCAGACTGCAAGTCACAGTAAACAGAAAACGGGTCATTGTTTGAATTAAAGATCTCGTATTCTCCTGATGTCAAGGCACCGTACTTGACGATGTCCTCACAACTCTTCAGCTTTGTCCTCTCACACCGCTGACCAGTATATTTGTTGGGACAGCCACAAGAAAAGCGGATGCCGTGGGTGTCACAGATCTCCTGACATACCCCTCCGTTGAGACAAGGATTGGGTCTGCAGCATCTGTTGATGCAGCGATGCTTCCCCGAGATGTCTTTGTCTCCACCCTACAGCAAAATTTAGCATTTCATTAGCCTACGATTTCTTTTGATGCCTTTTACTATGGAAGCCCATTGAATTTAGTTAATGCATGCATCTGAGCAACCTGCATGAATAAAGGATGAGTGAAAGGATAAATGTCTGAGCTGTTACTTAACCAATTCATGTGCCGGGGAAGAAAGTTATATATAAACAATTTTAGCTAACCTTTACCGTGAAATTTCTCACTAAATCATAATAATTCCCTCCTTTCCTCCATTTCATTGCCGCTGGCTCCATGTCTTTGTTAGCATCATTAAGCTCACAGTTATTTTCACGAGACTGTGGAAAATAATTCATGGAGACACACAAGCAGTCATCTTTACACTTCACGTGACACTGAGCGGCGCCACAGACTGTCAATCTTCGAAATACGTGACCCTCAAAAATGTGGTTGTAGGAGACATTTTCATCGATAACAAACTTGAAGTTTTGACAATTTACTGCTGTCTGTGCCACAGTGTGGAGAGTGAAGTTCAATACAAACAGCACCACATGAAGATATTGTACGATGCCCATGGCAATACTAAAAATATGCGAATAAAAGAGATACATTAATTTTTCATGGCGTAATCCTGAACGGAATGTATAGATACTTGGACTTCCTGCCGAAAGGCAGCCTCCACTAATATTTTTTCATAAGATCGAACAATTGTGGATTAGTGTAGAATTTATTGTTTTGCTTAACTAGGAAATTGTTACTCTCAAAGTTAACGGCGTAATCTGGAGCGAAATTAATAGATATATGGACCTCTGCGAACTCGTTCTTCACCACAAAATCAATGATTTGCAGAATTTCCGAAAGGATAATATTGATGGTTTTAGTGAGGAATGCTTTACAAAATAATCATTAACATACCTAGCAGTTTAGCTAACAGCAAAGAGTTGAAGAGATATTGTACGTATGAAGTGCAAACAAAGTCAGTTTACCAGAACACTAAACTGAGTTCTCTTCATTGCCCAAGATGCACTGCGAGCGACATACTGTGGACTAGCTCCTCATTTCGTTTTAAAATTGATATAAATAGAAAAATGGAAAAAAAATCAATGAATCAGTTTCAATTCATCTATGGCAGTAATTTTTAATTAAAAGTAAATCGACTACAGTAAGATTAATACAGGAAAGTTATAAAAAAGGTAAATGTCAAAGTTATCAATTCTCAGTGAAACAGCAATTGACTTAATCAAAAATTGTTTCTTCGAGGCATCTTTCTGTCTGACGTTCATGTATCAAATCAAATCGCCCTAGCATGAGGAATGTTTCTTGAAACGTAAATCTTTCAAGACTTATGTGTTTATCACTGATATTCTCACCCGGTCAAACGGTGTGCCGTAAAAACACGTATTGAAAATAAAGAGAGATCTCAGACCCTTTTGTGTCACAAAGCCCCAAAAAGAGAAACTCTACCCACCATCAATTGTTAAAAGATTCCCGTTCAGTATTACACTTATCCTCGACTAAATCAACTCTAGGAATGATTTGTGGTGAGTTTTCACGCTTTTAAATTTAATCTTCATCTGAGGGGGTCGCAATCCATTGTTTAACCTAGGATTATACGACATATAATATTGATGAAAGCAATTACACTAAGCTTTTAAAGTTTCTGTCCATCGATGAATGAAAAACCTAATGCAAAACCTACGTTAACTTTTTAAACTTATGGCGTTTCTTTTGCCGCTTTATTAAAAGTAAAGAAACGTTATCAATCAGCTGCGAATCAGACAAATTTACTAAACTCCCATAGTATCCGTGAACTGATTAAAAAAACATAAACCTGTTATATCCTTTTGTTATTAAATGGAAAGTTCTGTCCGTAAGAGTGGTTTATAGTAACCAGTGAACAATACCATCGTCGGCGATGGAGTCACAAAAAGTGACAAGAGACAGTCAAAACAAAGAAATCATAAACCACTCTAGTGAGTTTATTGTGCTACAAACACAGTTGGCTTTCTCTACCGCTTCTCGAAACAAACAAGTCAATTTTGATTCTTAATAAAGCGAAATCTTTTTGCCATATAATAAATTCTTTATTGACCAAGCTTGTTTTCGGTAAAGATGGTTGGATATTAGCCTCGCTCTTTTTCTTTTCGTTTTTTAATGGATCTTGCGTCGTCTAGATCCATAAAAACGCAAAAAAATAAATCGGCTACTATCCAGATATCTTGACCTCGAGCTTGGTCTACGACGCATTTATCTAAATGTGGTATTGAGAGACTTTCGCCTGCTTAGCAAATTGAATAAACTTAAGGTTACCATCACAAAACATGATGTTTTTTGGTATCTCTCCATGCAACCTTCACAAAGACAAAGCCAAAGTTTACATAAACACAAGGAAAAGAAGTTAATATTTTACTTGTTTTGCTTTTAAGGGTACAGGTAACTCTTCACATGCAAACTGAGCTGCTCCTGCTTATATTACTGAATTAACAGCTGTCGTGTTACCACAAACATCAAAGCAAATTGCGCCACAAAACTCATCAGAATAAGAGTAAACTTTAGCAAGATTCGCGCACAAATTGCCTAAAGACACACAGGTGAACATGAGTCCTTAAAAGATCACCACAAGCAAAGAGGACTGAAACCTTTTCGAATAAATTATCGGAGATAATTGTTCCCAAGTTTATTGTTGGACAGTCTGATTATTCTTCTCTCGCATTTACCGGCTACTTTCCGCTTTCTGATCAATGCTATTCCACCACTTGAAATTAAGAAGATTTGAAGGCAAACTGCAAATAATTTCCTTTCTGAATTTCTACCTGTCATTTTAAGATTTCTTCTTCAATTACAAACTAATAAAAAGTATCTTTGATACTTCCTGTAGACATGGGATTTAACACGACTCATATGTTATGGCTTCACTGAGTTCTGCAAGCACTTTACTACAATCTTCCTTGCGTACTACATGTGGCCTCTGCGCATAAATGGAGGTGCACTTGAAACAATATTCAGTCAGTTGAAACTTGGTGCGAATGGCCAGTTGTCCAGTGTGAAGTACTCCTCAGTTCTTACCACACTGAAGTTAAAACATCGTCTTTATGGATGAAGGGAAAGTTCTCAGTTTACCGAAAAGCCACCAATATAAATTATGTAAGAGAAATTTCACTGAAGAAAAAATAAGATTCATGTTGAGAGCAATACATCCTTTAAACAATGTGAGTATAACCTCTAAGTGATTGAAAAAACTTTTCCAAAGTGTCATACAGCTTTGCTCCTCAAGTAAATTGTCAATAATATTTAACAGGGTTCATAATTTGATGATTTTATAACTTTGAGAAACAAGAACTTCACGTATCATTAGAGACAACAATGTCCCGTGGTTCAAAATGCAAGTAAGATGTAAACTTGAGCATGCAAGCTGTAAATTTTTTTTTTTCGTATAACTGAGATGGCCTATCCACAAGACATGAGAACTCATTTCATAAAACAGAAACATGTATGTTGTTATCCACAATGCAGCAGTTCTCCCTCAACGTTACTAAAACTCCCGCTAAACCATCGCACAGCGCGTGCAAGTCACTAGAGTTTACAACGAGCACATTGGTTAACATCACGATATTTATCTCCGTTTTTAGTCAATATCTACTTGTTTTCCGATCAAAAAAAGTAAACGCAAAGAACAGTTTCCTTTTTGCAAAATAACCTACTGGTTAAATTATAGATGAGCAATGTAGCACAGTCTTAATGATCATTATTTTCTCCATCTAGGTTGGTCAAATGAATAACATGGACAAGATTCAAGCCTGGGTTCGTTTGTTCAAAGGCCGATAAGCACAAATTTTTTTAAAGCTTTGAGATCTGAATTCAAATTTCACACTGACCCTGGGTTATCTTGAACCAGCTTTGAACAACCCACCCTGGTGTAATAAGATCATTTTGCACTTTTGGGACAGTGCCAGCATTTGTTAGGCTAATAGATCAACAAGCGCTGATGAAGCCCTCGTTAAATTGAAGATGGTTGTGTATTTCGGTATACGTGAATTGATTAGTTGCCTCTGTCAAAACTTACTTAATCAACAGTTGGTTACAAAAGATACTTTTGTATTGCACTGAGCACCGGGATTGGACAACTGCATCACGTTTGTGGTGAACATGAATGGGTTGGGGGGAAGTGCGACCATGATTATTATTTTTTACCGATCAAACATCAAAGGGGGTTTGGGGGTTTCCTTCCTGGGGTGATTGGCTGTGTTGACAGCACTCACATCAAGATTCAGGCACCACATGAAAACGAAAACGGTTTTTTCAATCGTAAAGGGTTCCATTCCATGAATGTGCAAGCAATTTGCAATCACAAAGCTAGGTAAAATACTTAAAATACATAGTTAGTGTTGTATAAAATTTGTCTAATAAACTTTTACAGGGAGGGTACTCCCCTAATAGAGGGTTTTAGGTTGAGTTTTCTGGCAAAACAGCTGCTATGGGGTTGCATTGTTGGGAGTTAATAGATTACAGTTTCACATATTCAGGATATGGGAGAAGTGATAAAAATATTTTAAGTAGGAATTTAGGGTATAAATTGTTTGTTTGTATATTGTTAAACATTTCGGTTCACATACATTCTGTTCTCAATTGACAACTTTTTTGAAAACAAAATAAATGACAATTATTGGGTTCAAATAGTATGAGTAGAGTTTGGTTTGCAAACACACTAGAAAAATTAACCAAAGTTATTACACGAATATTTTAGCGACACAGTGTAAGAAAAGAGAAAAGCAAGAAAAAAAACAACAACAAAAAGTGGGATATTTGTGAATATATTGCACAGCTAATGGCCAACAGAGTGCAACAATCACCAAGGATTTCAAAATGATACAGTCTGCCAATTTCAAAACATTCAAAACACAAATTAAATAAATAATGAAAAGGTTACCCAAGTAAATTAAATGTTTTTATCAGTTACTCCAGTTCATCATAGACGCAATTATTGTTGTTTCTCTTTGCAGTACATCGTTGTTATAAACTGAGATGATTTTTCTATATCATAGGTAAGAAATGGTCACATCACCGATTTTCGGTTTCATGTTAGGCACATTTACTAACATAGTAGCGCGATGGCCACGCAGCACCCATAACAGCTTTATATTTAGGGATTCAAAAATTGGCCAACGACTAAATGACCAACACCAGTCCTTGGAAGATGGTTTACTGTTAGGTGACAGTGGTTACCCTTGCAAGCCGTAACTGATGACCCCGTAACCGAATCCAGTCACTGACAAGCAGCAAGAGTTCAACAGTGCCCACAAAAGAACAAGAGTGGCCATGCTAAGGCTCATGATCAGCCAAATCTTGTTTGCTTCCACGGTCCAGAGAATGGCAAGGTCATCCGAGACCATATCTGCAACACCTTTTTCTGACAATTTTGGTATTTCTGCCTTATGTAATCAGGTTCGCTTTTAATTTAACTCCCTATAAAATATAGAAATTCATAGATCAATTCAGGGGTTTCTGATTAAATAAAACACATTAAAATAATTTTGACTTAAGAGTCTGTTTTATTACATCAAATTACATTTGAGAA